TCTAGGTCCTTTTTAATGATTGAGTCAAATTAGTAGAGAAAATTATCGAGTTTCAGAAGACAGTGTCAGTGTAACTTTTACTTTATTGTTCTTTAAGTAAACCTCAGTCTGCAATACTTGCTAATTGAATTATCCTTTATTTGTCGAGATAACTAAAACCCACGCATATTACTGGTATTCTACCAAACATTTGAAGAAAATTGTATTTAATTTTGTTATCAGACATAACAATATCACTTATGACTGAAATATTGCTTTATGTCTGATAAAAAGTGCACCAATCAATGAATGTGTTCTTACTTTCGTTTATAATGCACTAGCAGCTTGAGTGAAAAGTAAAAACAAATTGAACACATATTATACAAACCATGATTTGCTCAATGCACCCACGCTATTGTTTATAAATGAATGTTTATATTTCCAATATACTGACAAACTGTTATTTTCATTGTTGTGTAAAACATTTTACATAATAAAAGATCAAACGACCAGACGCAACTGCATTATTTATATATTTTTATGATTATTTGATTATAAAGACTGTACAAATTTCCCAATACTGATATTTTTACAATATTCTGCAATACATTTCTAAATAAATATAACATCACTTAAGTTTTAATGCACTGTAAATTACGGAGCCCTTCTTTTGTTTAAAAAATGATTCAAGCAGTATTATGATTGTATACTTATTATAGATAGTTTGTTTCAATTTATTTTCAATAAACAAATTACAAAAACAATATTGTAAACAACTATTTAAATTGTCATTACCACTAAAAGACAAATAAAAAGACTAGAAATTGTAAATACGGACGGACATAGAATCGTATTTATTATTTATTTACTTACATTTTATGAATTGTGGTATGTCACTGCACATCCCTCGTCCGTCCGTATATCCACAGACATTTCGTTTCCGTAGCTTCCTTGATATATGTGATGCAAATGTACTTCATTGGTCATTGTTGAACAGTCGGGGTCAGTGGCGTTCATTTATTAACTTTTTGAGAAATTGTGATGAAAGTTTAGACATGATTGATAATATTAATATAAATATTTCTTATCAAAACTTAATGAAAGTTGCTCTTAATTGACTAATAGTTTAAAAAAAAATTGTAATGTATGATTCCCTAGGCCTACATACTGCACTTTTGAGAGAGGAGTTGTATTTGAAGTAGAAAAAAACTTATCAATTCATAGAACAAGTGTCCAGAACAGAGCTCTATTCGAAGGGAGCTCTCAAAAAATTAGTGAAAAAAATTCTGCCCAAAAGAATAAGGTCAAAAGTCGTAACTTAAAAGTAACAATAAGTATTATTAAGAAATGTTAGCAATGATCGTCTAACAATGACATTTGTAGGGTAATTAATCTTAACAAATGGAACAATGTAAGATATCTCTTTTCCTAAATGAACATCTAGTCGGTAGGCAACTATATTTAATCATTTAATATGCATTAATATATGAAAATTATTAACATTTTATCAATTGAACACATCAATGATCATATAATACCCTGTATATTAGGCATTTATTGAAAATCATAAACTGAGGGTACCTTATTAGTTCGGATTGTTTGGTGTGTTTTTCGTTAATTTCGTGTGCATGCTTTGAGTAAACTTACAGGATTGTGAACGTCATTGGTAGTTACCTTGGACAAAATTTACACTCAGTATGTTCTTGTGTAAAATAAACTCGTTTTGTGGGAGTAAGTATGATTACACAGAACTTAAATATCTGAGCAATTTAACTAGAAATTTAAAACTATCCTTTACATTGTATTTTATATTTGCAAGAACTATCCTTTACATTTTATTTTAGAACTATCCTTATTTTTTTTATTTTAGAATGCCAAGAACTATCCTTTTACATCATTTTATTTAAGAATGGCCAATGAGATACCCAGATTTCAATTAGTATGAAAATTCTTCTTATATACAGTTATTTTCTGTAAATTTGACAGAAAGTCAAACTGATTTTAGACGGCCTTCGGCAGGAACAACAATAACAACAACAAAAAACAAAGACCGTAAGTCGAAACTAAAATATTTCCCAAGGCTTCCACTGCCATTGTGTTGTTTCATCGATTCTGGAAATACAAACAACAGTATCTACACATTTTGAGTTTATGCAATACAACATTGATAAGACTATTGTTGTACAGAATAATTTTGCAAAATGACGTCAATTACGTTATACAAACGTAACGATTTTACAGTGTTAACTTTCCACTGTAGGTGCGTTTATGACAATAAACTTTATATAGCATTTTAATTGTAATCGATTCTTTTGATATGTAATAAATAGATTATTATATTCGTGAAGCTTAATTACCAAATTGATTGAACTCGATGAATAAAGCAATACTAGATCTATGAAAGCCAGATGCTTGCATAATATATGATAATTTGTTTTTACCTCGTTGTTCAGCATTGAACACACACTCATCCAGTACAATATATTTCGTTTAAATTTAGAGAAATGTTTATTCGAAAATCATAGTCTGAACAGGTTAATCTTAGAGCCACTAGAGTTTGTTATAAGAGTGATTATTTAATGAAACCAGTCAATCACCAAATCAATTTAGTGATAACATTCTAAATAAAACGATTACATAAAGACAAGTAGATATTGTTGGTTCATAATAAAAGTGATGTTCGGTATTTTGAAATGTTTTACTGCACAAAGTTACACACACACGCGCGCGCGCACACACGTGCACGCACGCACACATACAATCAGCCTGCATTATGCAGAAAAAACTGTATCTTTATTTGATCCCTTATACTCTTCAAGCTTATTGTTCCATGCATACTATCGTATGGTATAATTATAATGAAACATGTGCATAATGTTTAAAGACAAATTTAACATTTGGTTTAATGACAAAAAGTACACCATTTTACTACATCTTATTAAATAATCTTACCCACCTATACAGTATGTGGTGGAGACTCCTTAATATTGTGGTTTAGGAAGCTGACTTCAAATTACAGCTGTGGATTTAAATCCCATCGGAAACTTACCCTAGTAGTTTCTTTCATGTAAGGAAGATATCCAAGTAGTTACGGAAGGTCGGTAGTTCTCCTAGGTGTCCGCTCGTGCTGAAAACTGTCTTCCTCCACTAGTATAAAGTAGTCGTATGACCTTTACAGCGTGGCGAACTTAAAATATTATAAACGAACAAACATAACATTGAGTAGGGGTAGGATAAAATTCTCTGGAAATTCAAATGAAAACAAATTAAAATGTAATTTTGTATAGTACATTTTCATCAATGTGGAAAGTAGAAATACTCGTGAATGTTTTAAAGAAACTGTAAATTTTGGAGGATATAAAATATCAAACTTTTGAGAATATGAAATCTCAGTACAAAACAATTTTTAAACTAAGGTATATATAAAATGTACTAGACTTTTAACCCTACATAATGTGTGTGGCAACTATACGCATACGTAAGTAACAATCATTTAAACATTTCCAAAACATAATATGCTAACATGAATTAGATTATGCTATTGGATATAAAATATAATTGACACAAATCAATGGTAATCAAGTTTATTGATAAACATATGAGATAGCTCTAAAGAGGGAAAAAATAACGAGATAAACGCGCATTCATTTACTGTCAAAAATGTATCAATAAACAGTTGGTATCATTCCCACAAAATTTTACGTCATTTTATTTTTCCCACTTATAAAAAATACGAATAATTGACATCTGCTATTTAAGGATATGAAAAATATATTTCATGTTCTAAATTTATGACGTTTGTGTTATTCTAACAAAACAACAACAATAGAAAAATCATTTATAAGACGACTACAGACTTGACGACGAGAGTAACATTTTATTGTTTAGTTAGAATGCATGTAAATGACCAAACGATTGCCATTAGTTTGAAAAAAGGTCTGAATTGTATGCCCGGATGTATATTGTCTTTGCGGGGGATATTTCGACCCTTTGAACTGTGCAATGTTGAATGTATTCATATACAATTGTTGTCAAAAGCAAAGCAGAGGTCTGATATAAAAATAGTTAGGTTTTTATCACATGTTGATACAAATTCATGTCTTTCAGAAAAGTCAATTTAATTTTAAGAAATGATTTTGCTAAATATCGTGTCCTGTAACAGTAAAAATCAATGGCGGAGAGAGATGATGAGATGACACACACAATGCTGATGAAGTATCGTATTTTTAATTGTGAATTGCCTTTTTTTAACGCATTATTTTGTAGTGAAGGTAAAATAATAATATATGCAATAATGATGATGATGATAATAATAATAATAATAAGATAAGATAAGTTTTATTTCAAGTCGGCAAGTTTTCAACAGTACAACATAAGCTCTAGGAGCTTTTATAACCGACTGTATATAACATAAAGTATAAGATCAACAAAGATAAAACAGCTACAATAAAAATTGATTAGACATGATGTATACATAAAACAGACCTTTTTAGATATTTTTATAAAAATGAATCAGATGCTAAAAAAACTAAAATGATAGTTTACCCAATTCTACATCACTAGCTTGTATATTAATCTATGCTTACAATGTCAAGTATCTAAAAACTTTACTTAAAGTTCAATAATAAACCGATTAAACAATTAAAAATTTAATGAATAGTTAAATAAATAAATAAATAAAAATACTAAAAAACGTACATTTTTTATATATAATTTAAATATGAAAGACTATGGGTTATCAGACAAATACACAAAGACAGAAGGGATCATACATGTAAGTCAACAGTTGAACTCATTTAACAGCTCATGATGAAAAGATAAGCAAAAAAAAAGAAAGATCTTAAATAAAGCAACATCCTATCTAGGAACTAAATGATAATATTAACATAAGCAGAAATCATGCAGGGAAGAAAAGCAAAAACACATTTAAAGAAAAAAAAACTAAAGAAACTAAAAAAGAAATGAGACCAAAAAAATGTTCATACTCAGAAAAATAAACAAAAGTTAAGTAAGTAAAGAAATAGAAGTTAGCTGCAAGCAATACATTTACACTGTTTACCATTCCAGGATGAAATTAACTTTTTAAACTGAGCAAAATTTGAACATTTTCTAAAATTGTCAGGTAGAGTATTCCATAAAGCAGGTGCAGCATACCTGAAAGATTTTTTACCAGTAGTTGTAGTTCTTACTTGCGGGATCTGCAAAATATTTGAATATTTAAAATTTATACCAGATGTTTTCTTGACAATAAGGTCAGACAGAACAGCAGGAGACATATCATGAAATTTTTTAAAAGTTTCAATGGCCATAGCCCTCATTCTTCTTATTTTTAGAGTTGGTATATTAACTTTTATCAGCATATCTTCATAACTTGAATTAAAATCATTATAGACAAATTTAAGTGCTCTTTCCTGTAGTTTTTCCATCTTTTTAGTATTATTTTCTGAACAAAAATGCCATGACATAGGACAAAAATTAAAATTGGACAATATAAAAGTATGAAAGATTGTTAACCTATTTGTTTGATTTAAATTGTGACCTATTCTTTTGAGAATGTTTAACTGATTAGCAGCTTTTTTACATATATTGCTTATGTGAAAATTAAAATTTAATTGTTGATCAATGTCGATGCCAAGGAGTTTTACAATTTCGTCACATGTTATCTCAGTTGTATTAATTTTGAAAGCTGGGGATTTAGTGAAAGTTTTCTACCCTACAGCAATAGCTTGAAATTTATCAGGGTTAGCTTGCATTTTATTAAAATGAAACAAATTTATAAGATAGTTACTTTCTTGTTCTAAGGTACATATTAGTTCATCAAAATGTTTAGTCCGAAAAGAAAGGGTATTGTCATCTGCATAGTTATATAAAGTACATTTTTTATATAGAAAAATATGTCATTTATGAAAATATTAAACAGTAGAGGGCCCAGGATTGATCCTTGAGGGACACCTTTGGATATATTAGCCCATGAACTTACAATATTGCCTATTTTTATTTGCTGTTTCCTGTTTGACAGATAAGACTGCATGAGGTTGGTGGCAGGGCCTGATAAGCCATATGCTCTTAACTTAAAGAATGTCATGTGGCAGACAATCAAATGCCTTAGATAAGTCCATCAAAATCGCTGCCACATATTCATTGTTGTCCAGGGCCTGTCTCCAGTCATCAAACAGTCTTAACAGAGTAGTTTGACACCCATGGCCTTTCCTAAAAGCACATAAATAATTGTCAAATATATCATCAAAATAAGCAGAGAGCTGTTCAAATAGTACTTTTTCAAAAAGTTTAGATGGAATAGGTAATAAACTTACTGGTCTATAGTTAGATTTGGTCATAGCGTCATTTTTTTTTTGAAAAGTGGTTTTACTTGTGCTTGTTTTAATTTAGTTTTAATTGAGATGTTAATTAGATTTGTCAACGGTTCAACTAATGATGGTTTACCTAAATTTGGCTGAAATTTTATCCGCCCCTGTGGCCTTTTTAACATTTAGATTATTTATAAGTTTAGATATATTACCTTGTGATGTTTGTTCAAAGCTAAAGGCATCTTGTAAATAATTTCTATCATTGATTTGAGCAATACTAGGATGATTTTCTACATTGTAATCATAATCTTTCCCTATAGATTCTGCTACATTTGTGAAAAAGCTATTACAAATTTCAGCAACTTCTGAGTCGTCTGATATAATATTATTATTTTCATTAAGGATTTTTTTTGGCTGTTCTAGAGTACATTTATTTGATAGATATGGTTTAAGTGTATCCCAAAATTCTGATGATTTGCATCCTCCTATACACCTTTTTCATTAAAATAATTGTTTATTGACTTTTTCTTTATCTTATTTACATGATTTCTAGCTTTTCTATATTGTTCCCATGTTTTGGAACTTTTACATTTTAAATATTTATTATAATACATTTTGTTATATCTTGCTTTTCTAAGTTCTCTATTCATGTATGAGAGTTGTTTTGATTTTCTATACATCTGTTTTGTAGCAATATGTTTGTCAAAAATTTGTGGAATATCCTGTTCAAAAGTTTCATATACTTTATTTACATTTTCTTCAGAGCATTGTTTAATATCAGGGGTAGGAACTACTATGGAAGAAAGATCAATATTTAGTGAATCAATATCAAGATTTCTGAAGCTTCTATAACTAATTTTAATTTTCTGATTTTTTGGAATGGTGTTATTTATCACTGTACTTATCATATTATGACAATCACTAATACCAGTTGCAAAATTCATTGTTTTCATACACAGAGGCTTAGAGTTAGTTAAGATGACATTCAAAAGGGAAGGAGTACAATTTTTCATAAAACATGTTGCAGATTGTATTAGATTTTTAAAATCAAATAGTTCAATAAAATCCAACAATGGTTTTCCCTTCTCTTTTTGAAGTAAATCATAGTTAAAGTCACCAAGTAACATAACATTGTCATACTGAGTTATAAGTTTATCAACATTTGGAGTTAAACAATTGAAAAATAGACTGTCAGACATATTTGGTGGTTTGTAGACACATGATATTATCCATTTTGTTTTGTTTAGGATTACCTCAAGATATATACTTTCGATTTGATCATGTTCAAGATCCTTTCTTCGTCTTGCTGGAATGTCACTTCGTATAAATGCAGCAATACCACCGCCAGAAGATGTACGATCCTTTCTTTGAAGTTTATAGCCTGGAATATCAAATAAGCCATCACGAAATGTTGAATCTAATTTTGTTTCAGAAATAAATAATAAGTCGACTAATTTATCCAACAGTAGTTCATGAATTTCACAAAATTTGTTTCTTATACTGTTTATATTTAGATGAGCTGTAATAAATTTATTTATATGTTTTGATCTTGTAGATCTTAGTTCTTCAAAAATAGAATGTGTATTTTCTTCCTTCTCCAAACTTTGGGTTGATAGGTTGCTAAGACTCTCTTCGAAATGAGAGTCAGTAAAATGAAAATGTAGACATTGATCACATACCCATGGTTCCTCGCTGTTTGACAAAGTTTTATACTTTTCTGAAGACATCCCTGCACATTTGATATGCCACCAGTAATAACATGCCTCACAATAAATAGCTCGATGGTTCTTGGCAACAGGTTTGGCACATTTTCCACATGGAAATTTTACTGGGCCTGGGTTTAGAGCAATATCTCCAGATAGGACTAATAAATAGAGTCGATAGCAATGACTTAGTTTTATTGGTTGATACTTCACTCTTCTGCTGTGCACAAGATGATAGTAAATCATAAAATTGGTGGTAACATTAAAATCTGAGGAGAGTTGTATATTGGTAATCGGTATATTTACATCTTTGTTGACATGTTCAATTGTTGATTGGCTTAAGTAGGATATGTATTCTGTAGGTTTCAGATTACCTGTCGTTGATGTAAGATAGATACTATATTTGTAGCCCGGTAGTAACACACAGTAGATGATAAAGAATTTAGCAATCATTTTGATAAATAACAGCTGATTGACAGTTTGTTTACATTAACACCGGTTGACACAGGCGCTTTTTTCAGGAATGTAAAGCGTCTAGTTATCCAGATCAAGGTGAGAAAAATGTTAATTCGGTAAAAATTGAATTAAAAGATCACTGTTTTGTTTCTAAGACGTCGAAAATTGCTAAAATGCATCTGTTGATAATAAAAGATAGTTGTCTTGAGACTGTAAATCTGTAGAAAGCAATATTTCGATATAAGACTGTCAGTTTCCGGTTTATAGGTTTCGAGGTACTTAATCTTTATAGTAATAATAATAATAATAATAATAATAATAATAATAATAATAATAATAATAATAATAATAATGATAATGATAATAATGAAAATAATAATAATAATAATAATAATAAAGTCCACGTTTTCACTTTACTTTTTTTATAAGAAAACAACCCGAAATAACCTGTTTTTTACTCTCAATATAGATTGTTTATTTTTTATGTACTGAATGTCATTTTAGATTTAGGGAAGTTTATAAATTGGAACATTTAGTTGGTATAATTCGACCAATTTGCAACACGTACAGATGGATATATTGAAAAACACTAGTGATTCTTAAAAAATCTAAAGTTACCTTTCTAATGTAAAAATACTTTTGTTATAACTCATAGAATAGATATGAAGAAAATAGAAAAAATGTAACAATGAAACCATTATATTAAAAAAAATATTTACATGTCGGATGTTATAAAATATGGCAACAAACAAGCATAAACAATGAATTACTTCAAATATTGTTGAAAATTAATACCACTTTGTTTGCAATAATAATAATAATAATAATAATGTTATTATTATTATTAATAAATTGTAGAAATTCCGAAATCATGATACAAACGAAAAGAACCGAAGCAAAGTAAAAAGTACAGAAATTAATTATTTGTAAAGGTGCGTTATACATTTAATATTCTGAATTTTTGGAAGAACATGAACATAAAGTATTATATGCTGTCATTTCGTACAAAAAACTTTCCTCGTGCAAGAGAGATTCGCTCATAAAATATATATCAATCAACCCCTATAAATACAGATTTAATTAATTGATCAACAATTATTGTCATAAACTTCGCTGTTTGACAGCAACTCAACAGATGTACTTTAATTATAAAACAGTCGATGTCAGCATTGCTATGATTAAGTCTAAAATAATTAATAGACGAGACTACACCCACGCTTTCAATGAAAAATGCTGCACGAATGTGGCGTCTATCTTATCTACTGAATGATGTTGATCGATATTAGTATGAACATGTTTTAGTTCATATAGCTTGTCAAATAGCTTCAAAGCAACAGCGGACTATGCTCCATTTTTAGAGCTTTAAAACCTGCGAGGACGAATTTAAACCAATGACTTAGTATGTCCGAGGGCTTCCACAGACTGATGTTAATAAAAAATAAACGAAACAACAAAGGTGCATTAGCGCTAGTCTTGCATACAAATATACGATTCCGCATGTCGTTATGGAGAAACCATTGCTTCTTCTTTTACTCATGTTTCGATAACAAATTCAACAATAAGATCTTTACTGGAATATATATCTGCACTTTGAAAACGGCTTAATATCTGAATGTTTTAATTCAGTTTTTTACGGCATTTGACTTTAAGGTCGACTGGATCTAAACAAATTGTGCTGTACATGTAGATTTGTTATATTAACCTAATATACATGAACAAACATGAACAACGATATTCAAATGAACAAACAATTCTACCTTCCTCTTTTCAATGCTCTAGGAAACTCTTCATACATATTATCGAGTCAACAATTTGATGCAACAATGTTATATGTTATGAGCATCTGTTCACAAAACATTCACGAATGAGATATTATTATTTATGTAAGAGTTTTTGATATTTTAGTTCTTGTCCGTACTTTGATTAATCAGCTAATGCAATAAACTGTCGTGTCAAAACGGCCTTTGCAAAAGAGTGTAACCGTTTGTTTCTGCTATTCATGACATGGACGATGCACCCACACATTTAAAACATTATTTCTGTACTAAACAAAAATGTTTTGTCATAAAAGATAAAAAGATCAGACATATTAATCACAAAGAATATGATTATTGAAAAAGAAACTGTGGCTATATACCAATTCATGCTATATCATATGAAATTTACATATGAAATTTAATTTCATGATTTTCACCTGTGTATCAAACAATTGGTTTGAAATGCATTGTCCCTTAAATATTTTATCATTTTCGTTTCTCAAAAACCTTTTATCATTTTTGTTATGTTGTTACAGTTTCCAATTGCTAATTTTCATTATATTAAAATTGTATTTTGTATGTAAGTCATATACTTTGTATACATTTTGCTACATTTATGACGCATTACTGCACGTTCAGTGCTACTTTCTTCAGTTCTGAAACATCTAACATGCTTAAAGTCCATGATTTAAATATTTTAAACACATGTTTAACATTTCTAAGGAATTGAAAATATATGGATTTTTGAGGCATAATGTGGCTTTAAGAAACACCGCCAGTTCCTTTCGTATCAAATCATGAACAACCGTCATAAAAAGGAAAAAGTATTTTTTTGTATGTTTCACATACATATGTTTGTTCTTCATGCTACAGTACAGTGATTTACGAAGAAATTATATATAATAAACGGTAAAATGTAAAATTACCCTCTATTTAAATTTTATGTATTTTATAAGGTTTTCTTGATTTATAATGTTTGAAATCAAATATCGGGAAAAAGTTTTACACGGTGCTATTAAAAAAACAATAATAAATATAGATAAATAAATGTTTTGTACAGCATTTCCTGTTGAAACATTTTTGTCTAGTAAAACATATTTTTCATTTCAATGAATCATCGTTTGAGAAATACTAAAATACTTTGGCAATTTTAGCCCAATATTGTTGTGAAAATTGTTGTCAAAATAAAACTGAAACATAAACAACATATTTGAAGAGGTAGCATAATTATTTAAAATTACGTTAATTTTCAACATATATAGCATGTTAATACGTGACTGTAGCATTTATTGAAATCAAAGTCTGGTCAAGTCAAAGATCGTCGTAGAAACAGACAAACTAACTCAAACCTTGGGTAAAATTAATAAGTTGTCTGATGATACCCTCTATCTCATTAGAGCAATGTTATAAATAATATAAAAATATCCTATATAACAACATATTATTATTAATCATAGAAATTTTTATACTTACTCGATTAGAACTTTATCGACATTTTTTTCAAGCAACAATTTATAAAAAAATATCTAAATGATAAATTCCTAATTTGAAATTCTTAACGAAAATGTGCCCATTGCAGACCAATCCACTTAAATATGAATAATGTCGGTTTCACAATGGAATATATAAATAGCTGGGATTAATAATGCCTGATTATTTTATGGTTAGGTGGATTGACATTCATTTCTGAAGGCAATATAAACAGTTTATATGCTTTTTAGGTATAAGAAAATATTGAGAGCTTTTTAGTCATCTATATCTTTAAAGATACCTCAAATCAAATGTTTATTATTTTGATATAAGGTTAAACGCTTAGTTGCTTGTCACATAGGCTTCTTTCTACAACGACTAAATTATGATGCACTTTCCCCTACATAACTCAATTTGTCTTGTGTCTGAAATTATTGAAATATTTCAAATTCTACTCATCATTTTTATTGTTAAGAACTATATACTTCGTGATTATATTTTATCACTTTAATACCCTCCAAGAATGTTGTTTCAGAATTGAATTGTTGATTCTATTGTAATACTTGAAAACACCTGTATTTAAAGATTGTAATGATGAATTATAAAAGCTTAAAACAAAGCAGTGCGTCAATTAAATAGCAAATTCTTAACATATAAATGCATCAAGTGCATATCATGTCGGACAAATTTAACATACTTTATCTCATGTTTTTATTATTTATTTTATATAACATTGCCAAGAGCATCGATTCTTCTATCAATTTGTTTTTTGATACAAAATATATATAAAGGAACTTTCCCAAACAATCATACAATAGTATGTTGGTGTCTGAATAATATACCAAAGTCAGCAACAATCACATGATCGTCTTGTACGAGATGTTATTTTAGTATTTCATTAGTAGGTTTTGAATGTTAAAAATGTTAAAAATAAAACCCTCTGTATATTGCAATTTGAAAGAAATGCGGCAAATGCGGTAGCTTTTTGGCTGCGCATCAATAAAGATACCTTATTCATTGCAGGTGAAATAATCAAAATAGTCATTAATGTCCTTGTTAAACTAATTTACAACGCAGACATAGGTAATTAGACTTATTTATTTGTGATTCGCAATTAAGTTGTCTCGTAAAGTTTTAATGATTCCCACCATCAGCACCGCCTCAAAGCTGTAACCGTTTGTGTTTGTGCGACACATAATCCACAAATCATGTTAAATAGTAAAATGCCCCTTTATTTCAACCCTAAAATACTGCGTGAAAAAGATGCATATTAATGATTCATAGTTCCTTTCTTATAAAATAGTTCGTGTTATCAAATATTACGTAATCTTGTTTTATATAATTGAAATAATTCCGCACAAAATATTTTCTTCGAAAGTAGGTCAATATTAAAAAAAAAATGTTCAAAATTAAAAGTTATCTTAAACAACACATACACCTAGACATATTTATCTATATTTATGTGGTATTGTATTTTGAGTGTTGTTTTTTTATATATGTTGAAAGCATAATCTAATCAGACATTTTGCCTGTGTCATCGGTTGAGAAATATTTGTAGCCTGATCGGGACTCGAGCATGGGAATCCTCAGAATTTCGGTCCTCGGCTCGACGGTTGAGCTATTTTCTTCCATAATTATTGAACAGTTCTTTATAGTGACACACTCCCCTGATTTAATAATGAAAACAAATCTCGGAAAAATTATTTCCACTCCCAGCATGTCAAATAACATCAGTCCTTTAAATGTCAATGAGACCTTTTGGTTAATCTATGACTTATTAGTTTAAGTCCAAATTAAGATCAAGTTTCCTCATATGACATCCTCCTTCAAAGCTCAATACTGAATAAGGTGAGCATAGAATTAGTGATGCAGCAGTCGCTGGTTCGAATGGGCGAAGTGGGATTATCTTTTGCCGTATCTAAACAATCAGGATTTGGAAATAATCTTTGTAAATCAATTTTTATTTAGCATGATGTTAATAACCAGGTCTTCAAACTCATGTTGTAAAAGTG